ATTTTGTAAATGTTAGATAATAACAGGTGTAAAAGTTGCGAGCAAAAAAAAAATAAAAAAATTATCACATTCTCTAGTTAGAAAATCTGAAGCCACTATTTTTAATGTATATAAAAGGTATGCATGTTACCGCAGAACCTCAATTTCGCGCATGTTTCCTGCATTCTATACTGCACAACTGATGCGGTTCCGCAAGTAGGCGAGGTGAAACTAACAGTTAAGGGCTGAAGCCAAGGTGGTGAATTGCTATTCAAGCGGGGGGGTAGAACAAGGGGGGAAACAAGAAACACGCTTAAAGCTAAGAGCCAATTTTCAATCTAATTTCAGATAAATGCCTTCTGTTTTATTATTCCTTTTTTGAATGTTATTATTCATCATTATCGTAATCTAATATAAAACTCCATCATTCATAAGAAAATTTATATGTTTATTGACATTGTGTAATTAATTTTATTTGTGTATATATCTAAAGAAAAAGTTGAAATCAAAATTTTTATTAAAATTTTAGCAAATATATAGATCAAAGGCTGTTGTGGTTCTATTAAAAAGAGGGTCTTACATTTTTGTTTAGGTTAATAAAAATAAGACTGGTTATTTTCCCAAGAATTTATTAGGAAAAATTCTACGAAACTAGATCGCAAATTTTGCCAAATTAGGTCACGAATTCACGAAATTAGATCATGAATTCCGCGAAACACGATCGCATATTTCGCGAAACCAGATCCCGAATTCCACGAAACTAGATCGCGGATGTCTCGAAATTAGATAACGGATTCCGCGAAACTAGATCACGTATTCGCGAAATTTTTTCACAGATTCCGCGAAACTAGTTCGCGCATATCGCGAAATTAGATCACGCATTCCGCGAAACTAGATCACTGAGTCTGCGAAACTAGGTCGGGAATTTAGCGAAACTAGATCACGGATTCGTAAAATTAATTCACGGATTTCGCGAAATTGGATCACGTATTCCGCGAAACTAGATCACGGATTCTGCGAAACGACTTTACGAATTGTCATAACGTGATCGCGTATACCGCGAAAGAGGATCACAGATTTCGTGAAATTAGATTATAGATTCGCAAAACTATGTCGCGGATTGCGTAACAGAAGATCACAGATTCGCGAAAATAGATTGCGGATTTCGCGAAATTGGATCACGTATTCCGCGAAACTAGATCACGGATTCTGCGAAACTACTTTACAAATTCTCGTAACGTGATCGCGTATACCGCGAAACACGATCGCATATTTCGCGAAACCAGATCCCGAATTCCACGAAACTAGATCGCGGATGTCTCGAAATTAGATAACGGATTCCTCGAAACTAGATCACGTATTCGCGAAATTTTTTCACAGATTCCGCGAAACTAGTTCGCGCATATCGTGAAATTAGATAACGCATTCCGCGAAACTAGATCACTGAGTCTGCGAAAGTAGGTCGGGAATTTAGCGAAACTAGGTCACGGATTCGTAAAATTAATTCACGAATTTCGCGAAATTGGATCACGTATTCCGCGAAACTAGATCACGGATTCTGCGAAACTACTTTACGAATTCTCATAACGTGATTGCGTATACAGCGAAACAGGATCACAGATTTCGTGAAATTAGGTTATAGATTCGCAAAACTATGTCTCGGATTGCGTAACAATAGATCACAGATTCGCAAAAATAGATTGCGGATTTCGCGGAATTAAATCACGGATTCCGCAACACTAGATCACTGATATCGAGTAATTAGATCACGGATTCTGGGATACTAGATCACGGAATCTGCGAAACTAGGTCGTTGATTCCGCGAAACTAGATCACGGATTCGTAAAATTAGTTCATGGATTTCGCGAAATTGGATCACATATTCCGCGAAACTGGATCACGGATTCTGCGAAACTAGATCACGAATTCGCGTAACTTGATCGCGTATTCCGCGAAACAGGATCACAGATTTTGTGAAATTAGATTATAGATTCGCAAAACTATGTCGCAGATTGCATAACAATAGATCACAGATTCGCGAAAATAGATCGCGGATTTCGCGAAATTAGATCACTGTTATCGAGAAATTAGATCACGGATTCTGGGATACTAGATCGTGGAACCCGCGAAACTAGGTCGTTGATTTCGCAAAACTAGATCACGGATTCTTAAGATTAGTTCACGGATTTCGCGAAATTGGATCACGTATTCTGCGAAACTAGATCACGAATTCGCGTAACTTGATCGCGTATTCCGCGAAACAGGATCACAGATTTTGTAAAATTATATTATAGATTCGCAAAACTATGTCGCGGATTGCGTAACAATAGATCACAGATTCGCGAAAATAGATCGCGGATTTCGCGAAATTAAATCACGGATTCCGCGAAACTAGATAATTGATATCGAGAAATTAGATCACGGAATCTGTGAAACTAGGTCGTTGATTTCGCGAAACTAGATCACGGATTCTTAAGATTAGTTCACGGATTTCGCGAAATTGGATCACATATTCCGCGAAACTAGATCACGGATTCACGTAACTTGATCGCGTATTCCGCGAAACAAGATCGCAGATTTTGAGAAATTAGATTATAGAATCACAGATTCACGAAACTAGATGGCGGATTTCGCGAAATTAAATCACTGGTTCCGCGAATCTAGATCGCTGGTATAGAGAAATTAGATCACGGATACTGGGATACTAGATCGCGGAATCCGCAAAAATTAGTTTACGGGCAGGGTTGCAACGCTTTCTGGAAATCAGGAAAAATCAGAGCACTTATTTGTTCGAGAGAAATCGTATCAACTTTGGTCCATCCTATCTTAGATGCTGTTGGTCCTATCGAAATGAACTCTACACATTTTTCGTAGATAACTATTTAGGGATAACTCTTTTGCTATGTCCGAGAATTTATCTCGAAAATTTAAAATTTCAAAAATTGTTATCCACTTTGGTCTATTTTAGGCTGGAAGATAATAATCTTATCAAAAAGTGCTTCACGGAGAAAAAAGATATTGTTGCGATAACAATTTTTGGATTGTTGTTGACAGATTTGTTGTTGCTACAATTCGGAATGTTGAAATGACAATTCGGATTGTTGTCAATACAAATGTGTCTTGTTTTAACGATTATACGAATTTGCTACGTTTAACTTGTTCAGTCTGCAAATCCGTACTGTTATAGTAACAAACTTCTGGTAGCGCATCATGCGATTGCTGATGGAACAATTCGGATTTGTTGAGCTGACAGGTTTACTGCTCAATGTCACGTGTTCATCTTTACTTGCGCGTCGGTCTCGCGATTAGGGCACTTGTGCCTCTCTATTTATTTATTTATTTTAACTTAAGTTTTTATTATATAGTGAAGTGAAAATGCTCCCAGGAGAGGAGACAAAAGTGCGGGAATTGTTGTTAAAATGGGGACTTGATGAGAAGACTGTGTCTGATTTTATTGGTACGTGTCTAAATAGTGTTAAATATAACCAAGTATAGACTTCATTGTGATACTCGGCTGTAATTCTTAATTTTTAATACTTAATGTACTAAAATAATGTTTTATAATTGTAAAGAAAAAAGTTTTAATAAATTTTGTACTTAATTATCAATTAATTTTATTATTTCTAAAAAAATATTAATTAAGGTGAGAAAAATTTTTTTGATCAACGCTTTGTTAGTACAACAAATTATTTTGTCAAACTAACAATCCAGGTATATTGCTGAAAACAATTCTGCTTGTTCACCGAACAAATCGGAATAGTTTTTATAACAATCTCGCTTTAACAAATTTTTTTTGTCTCCACAACAAATAGATTTGCTAGTTCTATATTAGCAAACTGGAATTGTTGTGCGGACTTAATTTTTAGTTGTCACAACAATCCTTTTTTCTCCGTGTTCATAAAATGTTTTGTAGAACACAATCTTGGAATAGAAGGATAAATGATATAGAGTGTATTCAATTACAGAAAGTATTGGTTTAAAAACAGTTTATTTAATTGAAATAAAAATTATTTTTTCACTATATTTAGATTTTTTCTTCATACAGGGGATGAGAGAATCGGAGGGCTTTAAAAATAACGTATCTTTCAATTAATATTCTTCAGTGACCGCTATTTCAAAGTGAATAGTTTTTATGGGTCGAATTTGATAAAAATACATTTACCAGACCTTCACCTTTTATTTGGACTGCAATCATCAGGAAAACATGAGTGGTTTATATTCTATCGTTCGATTTTATTCTCTTTTTAGTAAATTATTCGACAAGTCATTTGATCAACGATCGATTGTTTCAATTTACTGAAGCAATTTCATGTTTAGTTTGTAAAATTTTGATTGAATATTTTCTATTATTTATCAGATGGTAATTTATCATATGTGAAAAAAAAATATTTACATAAAAGTAATTAACTTTGAAAGCAATTATAATAAATATATTTAAAATCCGTCAACAAAATTTTTTGTTTATTTTTAAATTTATTTAAAATGTGGGATTTTGTTTTTAAATATCCACTTTTGAATGTGTCTAATTTAACTGATTTTTGAAAATTATAATTTATTTATAATAGAATATTTAAAGAAAGAATTGTTAATGAATAATTTTTTAAAAGGATTTTTTTTTGAAATTGAAACGTTTGGATAAATAAATTTTTGAAACAATTGTGAAAATTGTTATTTTTCTTAAATTATATATTTTTAGAATTTAAATTTTTGTTGCAACTATAAATTTTTAAATTCGTACGAGTTTCCTAGTTTATCGACTATTTCGAAAATATTTTTATCTGTTACTTGGCGCTCTCTGGTATGAATTTCATGAATCAGATAAAATTTATTTTGTTGGTATTCAAGGAAATGTCCCTTCAAATAATTGAAATTAAATCAATTGATATAATAATTTTATAAAAATTTGGCTAATTATTGAATTTTTTACTTCTTTGTTACTGAATTTAAATTTCAGATTTAGCAAAAGAAAAAAAAAATGGAAAGGAAAGAAAGGAATACTTTTTTCTGAATTTAAACACGAATTTCATTATTATGATTTATCGAGATTTTTTTTTATACACTTATAGGAATATATAATTACTTAAATTTCAAAGGAACGGAAATACCAGCGAGGCATTTCTCTAACAATTCATTTCTAAGTTCATCACGAAAAGTTTGTTGATTGTTTATAAAGTTTAACCATACGCCAATCATCTCGAGCATGTACCATGGTTTAATGTTGGATTCAGCATCGTCTTCATTATCATCTCGACTTTCAAATTCTTGAAAATCTTCTTCACTGTCAAAAGCAATTGGACATGGTAGTTTCTCTAGACTTGCAATTTTGAATAAATCTTGTAAAATTATTCTATTTGCCAAAATAATATGACGAATAATTATTGAATCACAAGACTCTAATAATTTATTGAAACGATCATCAGGTTTTACTCGTAGTAATATATTGAGATAGATTTTTTGTTTTGTAATGTCGGATTTTTCATATTGTCGATTTTTCAAATTTACACGAATATATTCATGCATTGAGTATAGAGAATCAAATGGTACAATTTTGACAAAACCATCAAAATTTCGTCGATATTCTTTGACATTTTTTAGAACAATATCGTCGTCGTCGTCGTCAGATTCTTGGGAAACTAATCTTAAAGCACGAGCCACTGAAAGTAGATAAAAATATATATATATTTCATTAATTTTCTTTAAAATTTAAAAATTTGAAAAATAATTTTTTGCCTATATTTTTGTTTATAATTTTTTTTTTCAATTCCAATTGCAATTAATTTTTCAAAAAAAAAATCTCGTTTTCATTGAAGAATAATTAAAATATAATTTACCATCATTAAGTGATTGTGAGACGTCGCAATTTTTTTGAATTTCATCATTTGTTTCTTCAGATTCACTTTCCGAATCCGTAACATCATTTTCTGGGTCCATTCTTAATGAATTTGATTCATTTAACGAATTGTTGTTCTTTAATTCTGTTCTTATTACTTAAAAAAATAAATTAATTAATTAATTAATCACTTGATAAATATAAATTTTTTTTATAAAATATATAAAAACAGTTTAAAAAAAATATGAAAAATTTTACTATAGAAAATAATTAGATGATTAATGCACACTAAAAACTTATTCTTAATTAAAAATCTAAATAATAGCTTGAGATTTAATATATTGACATGCTCAAACTCAAATATACTTTTATTAGTAATCTGACTTCTAATTTTAGTTGGCATCGTGACAATACAAGTGCCAAAACTGTCCCAAGTGAATTTCTGACTCAATTGATTCAATGTCAAGTGGTGATCGAACATGAAATTGCGTCTTAATGAATAATTGACTAATCAAATTTTATTTTAAAAACTTTTTACATATTAGAAATTTATTTAGTTAATAAATTTCTATTTTTTTTATTAATTTGAAAAATTTTATTATTTTTAAACTACAATTATTTTTTATCAATATTTTTTTTCAAATTTAATTTTTTAATTTTTTTTTTTTATCAAAATGAAAAAATTGCATAAAAAAATGAAATTTTTTTACCTTGTTCACATATTTCATCATCGTCCTCTTCCTCTTGAATGGGATTTTTGAAAAAAGGTGATTTTCTAAATTCCTCGTGCATCACTCGATTTGGTATCACGTCTGTGGCCATTTTGGCCTCTGTTGATTTTATCTGTACAGTTAACAGCTTGAAAAATTATGAAAACACCCCACACTGAAAAATATTGAACTATTTATAAAATTTTCATTTTTTTTTTTAAGACACACACTTTGAACAGTATTATGTAATATATATATATATATTTTTTTGCAATTTTCTTTGAAAAAAAATTTTATTATTTCTTCTGAATGAAAAAAAAAAACTGTCACTCACATTGAAAAAATAAATGCGAAGCAATGCTTCCGTTCTGATGGCTCAAATGACAATTCATTAACACTAAGAGTTAAAAATAATTATAAATTCATGAGCACAATATCAACAATATATAACGTTAGTTTTTTTTATAAATAATACTGAATCTCTTTTTTCTCTTTATAGGTCCACTTTTTTTTTGCCAAAAAAATAAATAAAATAAAAAAAAAATGAATTTGAAAAATATTTTTTTATGGGCAAAAATTTTCTCACTTTTTTCAAATTCTTTTCTTTCTAAGTAAAAGTTGTGTAATTATTTTAATTATATTACGAAAAATAAAAATTGATTTTGTAATTTACTTTATGTAATTTTTTTAAACTTTTTTCAGATGTCCACTTTTAGATGGAAAACTGAAGCTGAAGGAGATCTTTCAATAGCTGAGACGCAGTTTAATGTAAGTTTTTCTCTGAATTTTTATTTAATATTTTTAATATCAATATAAAATTAGGAGCAAACTATTAAAAATAATACCTTCTCATATATAATGAGAATGTAAAAATTAAATATTTATAAATAATAATAACTATATTATTATAATTAATGTAATATAAATTATTATAATAATATATTTTTCATAAATTGTTATAATATTATATAATATAATATTATATAATTATATTACATTAAAAATATTTATACAAAAATATTTGATTTAGTTATTTTATAATTTGAAATAACTTAAATCACAGTTAACTATTTAAAAATTTCAAAAATAATGAATTGTTTAAATATCTTTATTCCGGTCAATCAGTTGGTTACAGTTAATTGGTACAACGACTTTCCATGTAATATTTCATTTTTTTTTTAACGTCTTAGATATACAAGTGGCAAGATGATTACGCGTCGCCATTGTTTGTTTTACGGTCATATAACACATTTGCTACATATTTTGTTAAAACTGATTATATTTAACAATTACCAACTGTACATTAATTCATTATGTTAATACATATGTCGATAATAATCTAAATTAGGGATCGCATTTTATTTTTCTATTTTGACAAAAATCTTTTTTTTTTTTTTTTTTTGACATTTCTATAGTATACATAGCAAGAAGCAAAAATTATGGCGTATTCGGTACTCGATATGAATGCAAGTTAATTATATATATATATTAATTTATATTATAAATAAGTTAACTTATTTATTATTCAAAAGTTAAATTTATCGAAAGTTAATATAACTTTCATTTATTTATTGTACCAAATAAAATTATAATTTAATAATCAATTAATTAAACTAAATAATCAATTTTCCTTTATTAATTAATTATATTTATATTTCTTTATTAATTTATAAATAATTTATTGAATTTTATTTGGCACTGTTTACTTGAAAATAAAAAGAATTATTAAGTTAGCTTAACAAAATAATTAGTTAATTAAAATAATTATAAACTTATTTTTTTATTGTTACTTTGTGTCATTTTAGGGAAAAAAATTTTCTCAGTAATACAAAATTTAGATAGAAATAGATGATTTGGATTTTGATGATAAGTGCGATTAATATAGAGATTAATAATTATTATCTTCATAAACATTAAAAAATAAAAAAAAATCCTTTTCAGTAAAAAAAAAAGAAGACAGCTTGGTGTAAAAATATTTTTTTTTCACTTTTCCCTCTTAATAGAAAATTTTAATTATAAATTATTTACCAATTAATTACATATTTATTAAAAATTAAAAAAAAAGAAATTAATTCCATTTGAAAAATTGTGTAATATTAGCAACAGTAGTAAAAGTCAGTTATAGCCAGACAAAAAGTTGAAAGTTATTTTTTTTTTTTTTATTTGTTGTAGTAAAATTGATATACAGTTATAAAAAAAATATTTCCGAATTCATGTAAATTTTGTTTCAGTAGTAAATTTTCTAGACAGAATTTTTGTAATTAGGACAACAGTAGTAAAAGTCAGTTACATTCGGACAGAATTTTTATGATTTGAAAATATTGAAAAAAGTAGTAATAGTCAATTGTAGGCAGACAATTTTTTTTAAAATTATATATAATTAAAGTGTTAGTAGTAAAGCAAAGTTTTAGTCAGACGGATAGTTAGTAATTTTGACCAAAAGTAGGAAAAGTCAATAACTTTCAAACTATTTCAATTATTTTGGAAAATTCGAGATCAGTAGTAAAAGCCAGTCTTAGGCATAATAAAAAATTCTTGAAAATTAGAATTCAGTAGTAAAGGACAGTCTTAGTCAGATATAATAAAAAATTGTCGAAAATTAAAAATAAGTAGTAAACGTCAGTTTTGGTCAAACAGAATGCAATTTTGAAATATGTAATAAAAATATGTGTCAAACAATCTAAATTCTTGTAAATTAGAAATAAGTAGTACAAAACAGTTACAGTCAGACATTTTAATAAAATTATATAATTTCGATAATAGTAGTTAAAGTCAATTTTAGACAGACATTAAAAATTGTCTAAATTTTTTTTTTAAAATCGGTATTAGTAGTAAAAGACAGTTACAGCCAGACACAATGTAATAATAATAAAATAATATTAGTGTAGTTTCTTATAGAATTGAAAATCAGTAGTAAGAAAATGAAAATGAAAAAATTAAAAAATCAGTTTTAGTTAGACAAGAGCTATAAAATTTGGATAATTTCGTATTAATTAGAAAAATTAATGAGAGAGAAAAGCTCATAAATAAGTATTTTTCCATCAAACTGCATTTTTAAAATTTCTCCAAACGCCTGATAAAAAGATCGCTTTGCAATCGTATTATTTCTTTTTTTAATAATAATTTTTTTTACGTATTATATCGAACTATCCATTCTATATATGTTTTTTGTTTTAAAGTACATTAGTACGTTATTCCATCAGTCACGTCTCAGACGTGATTTTACAAGTCAATAAATATTTTTAAAAATCTTTTTAGGAAATATAATCTCATAGACGATTAATCGACTATGTATCTAGTATTGTCAAGGAATTTTTTTATTTATTTATTTTATTAAACTTTTGATAATTTGATATTTTTAGACGAAAGGACAGAAGCCATATTATCATAAAGAAAAATCATTGATTTTTCATTAGTTTTTTTTTCATTTATTTTTATATTTTTTCTTATTATAATTTTTCTTCCTATGGCCTCTTTGAAAATTCGTCTTTATACTTTCGGTTCAACTTTTCTTTTTGTATACTGTATATTTTTTTTGATAATATACTGTATACTATTTTTAACTATATATTTGTATATTTTTAATATACTGCTTATTTTTGTATAATAATAATAATAATACATTATATATAATGTTTATATTACATATATATTATCTATAAACTATTTCTCAAACTAATTTTTTTTCTTTCTAAAATGCATTTAACTTTCAAGGAAAAATCTTTTTTCATTACTATCAATTTGTTGTTTTTGCAGAATTACTGATATGTAAAACAATATGTAGATATTTTTTTTTTCGTAATGGACAATATTGTTTAACGAGAGTTAGGTTGAAATTCGACAAGAACACGTTTTTTTTTTTTTTTTGAATACATATAAGTATATTAAATATTACATTTATTATCAATATTATTATAACTATTACTTTCATTATTTTTTGGTAACTTTCCTTATCGATTGAAATTGATAATCGATAGGAGAGCTTTTCTTGGCAAGGATATAGTTTATTTTCTTCTCTTTTTTTTAAAGTCTTCAAAACAGAATATAAAAAAATTATTGTACATTCACCTAAAATGAGATAATTAATTTTTTCTAAATATTATATATATATATATATAGACATTTTTAAAATTTGAATAAATATTTTTGTAAAATTTTCCTTTTTATTAAAATTTTGATAAAATTATATTTATAGAAAAGTTTGAATGTTTTTTTTTACTGAATTACTCTATAAATTTGTTTTTCAATTTGAATTAGTGACTGTGTTTTTGCTATGAATTAGTTAATTAGTGGCTTTTATTGTCGAATTGAATGAAATATTTATTTTACATTTTAGATTGCAATTAATAATATTAAGTATTATCGAATGGTGATTAAATTTTGAATTAAAAGAAAACAAAAATTTTTTTTTTTTTTGAGGCCTAAGGTGAAAAATTTTAATTAAATTTGAAAAAAAAAAACTTTTTTTTTCGATATGAAACGTTTAATATCGATATGGTAAATATTACGTTATTAAATATTACCTAGTTTTATAATCTAAAAATTAGGGCCTGTTTTTATTTTTTTTTTTTTTGTATATGACTATGAAACTTATACATAGATTTGCTTGTACACTATATGTACACTGAAAACACATTGGCAATAATTGAGTAGCAAAGGTACCCTAAGTAGCCTTACAAAACTGAAAATGTTAGAAAAAAAATTCTCAGCACCTGAATCTCAAAGTAGATAAACACATTAGTGCGAGCATTCATAAAAATGTTTTTCTATTTTTTTTTTACGAAAAAAAAATTTTTCTTTACTTTTACTATTTTTCATTTCAAATTACTATATAATTATAAATTTTTTAAAATAGAAATAAAATTTATTTAACATAGAAAAATTTTTTTTTTTAAATTGTATTATTTTTATTATGATTATTTTTTTTATTTTTATTAATGAATTTTATGTGATGCTCACACTAGTCTTTAATCTTCTTTTATTAGTAAAACGGATAAAAACTAAAATATTTGCAATGTCTTTGAGCTTCTTATTTATTTTTTTTTTTTGTTATATGGCACTATTTTCTATTTAATTGTGAATTTGGTTCCTTCGTTGTATATACAATACACATTTTACTTTCTGTTTGATTGTGTGCGGTGGTGCTTTCATTTTGGCCCAGGTACGATTAATTAGATCCTCCATTGTCGACTAAACTCCTCTCGGTCAAATTCAATCAATATTCTGACCACGACACGAATATACAATAGATTAATTGTTCTCTCTCTCTCTCTCTCTCTCTGATGTCAGGTTCATCAATTACCACAAAACTCCCAAATGTCTCTAACAATTAAAAGACTTTTGTAACTCTTTTATATATAAAAAAAGCGTTTCTATTTTACCACCTTTATTTATAAATTATACGATTGAGACACAAAAAATTCATTTTTTAAAAATAAATTTTTTTTTTGGTTTTCCTAATTTGGACTTAAATATATTTTTTTTGTAATGAAATATTTAATTAATTTTGCAATTGAATGGTTTCAATTAATAATTTTCAAATTTAATTAAAGTTCTATTGTATAAATAATGAAAATTTTGTTTTATTATTGCTTATTTAAACATAATTCAATATTAGATTTAGTTACATTTTTTATTTATTTAAAAGTCTCTTAAAATTATTTTATTTATTTATTAAACTATTAATATATAAATAAATAATTGCGAGAATAATCCGTGTCTCGAGCATTAAATTGTCATGTGGTGTTGCTTTTTTCTCATTGTCAACAAGGATTCACAAAATTTGATTTTTTTTTTTTTTTTTTTAGGTAACTGCAACAATATTTGTTTCTAAATTTAATTTGATATGAATTTTTAAATTAAAAAACCATATTAACAACTTTTCCATCTTATTAATTATAAATGATTAAATTATATTAAATTATTAATATACTGAAAAAAATTTATTTGATTCAAATAATTAGATATATATATATACTTGTTCTTCAAATAAATATTTAGCAAATAATTTTTGAAACCAAATAATTGAATTAAATAAACTGTAATACCAATAATTTCTATATTTGAAACAAATAACATTTAATTGACTCAAATAACAATTATTTGGTTCAAGTAAATATTTATTTTAGTCAAGTAACCGATTATTTGAATCAAAGAAATTTTTTCTTCATCGGTATTTTCACACTGAGAAATGTTTTATTTCTTATATATTTCTTATATATTTATTTATTTAAATAAAATTTATTTTAATCTATTAAAAATATATTTATCTCAAAGTCTAATAACTTTTTATTTGTTTGAAATAAAAAATTTTATTTAGCACAAATAAAATTTTATTTGTCGCAAATAAAATTTTTACTTAATTAATTTGAAAAAGAAAAAGACAAACAGGATGGAATAAAGTTTTTTAAAAATTGTTGAGCGCAGTTACCTAAAATTATAAGGAAAAATGAATCATTAATAATAAAAAAAAAAAAAATTGAGAATTATTACTCAAAAATTTGCAAATGTAACAATCGTTTTTTTTCTTAATGTACAGTACTTGCATTCGTAAGTATTTTCTCACATTAACATTACATAGACTATATCTTAGGGACAAAATTTATTATCTCTATAATATATATATATATATTATATAGTTTCTATTTGAATCTTTTATGCTTTGTGTGATCTAAATCATTACAACAATGACTGATACCTAGAAGACAATAACGAGTACATGTACAATGAGAGAGTTGGCTAGAACACTTAATAGTTTTTTTGTTTCGCGTTTTATTTTCATATTTTTTTGTTTTTGTTTTTTTTTCAGTTTTAGTTTAATAAAGAGATTATTTTTTTAGTGGCTAATGAGCAAATAATTGCTCATACATTTATATCACTATATTCGATATTTCGAGCGAGTATCGAAAACTCGTGACGACTAACGAAGTATAATATTTATGTATACGAGTACTTTGGCAGCGATCTTTCTGTTCGTTTACAATATTTTTTTTTTTTCTTTTTTTTTTTTTGATATAATCATCATTGTTCCATTTATTTATTTGAGCTAATGCAATTATATAATTCGACAGGGAAAAATTTATGGTTTTGCAATTTTTTTTTTTTTTCTATAATTTTTTTCTTTTTTCGAAGTTTCGTATCAAACTGTGGTGCACATTTTTAGAAAATTTTTTATTAAATTTAATATATATAAAGCCTATCACAAGTCACTTTCATGAATTAAGATAAATAATTATTTAGAAGAATAAATCATCTAATTTATTTATTAAAATTATTTTTTTTTTTTAACAAAAATTTCAAATTATCTTAATTATAAAAATAATATTAATTTTCTTAAAGAATTTAAAAAATTTTCTTGATTATGGAAATGACTTTAGACGCAATTTATATTAAATTAAAGAAAAATTTTAGTGTATGTTTAAATAAAATTCGCTCATTTCAAAAATGAAGTACTCTTAGAATTGAGTATTATTATTATTATTTTTTTTTTATTGTCTGTGCAGACTTTTGATTTTCAATGTACTTGAACACTCGAGTAATTATTATATATAATGAGCTAAGAATTTTCTTCTCTCTTGCACATTATTATATTATATCATGGATTATTGTTCGTGTTTTTTTTTTCGTTTTTAAATTATAAAATTAAATTAATCGTTAATTTCTTTTTCTTTTTAAATAAATTCGATATTAGGAAAATACGTAAAGCCATCTTGTACCGGCCAAGAAGGAATAAAATACACATCTATTTTGTTTAATTAAACGTATTTTGTAAAGTCGCCCCAACAACAAAATAATTTATTATCCAATAAGAAAATAGTTTGTGCAGTAGTATGTCCTCAAAATAAAGCTCTTTTTTTTTGTTTTTTGCTTATTATTTTTTTTTTTTTTTGTAAGTTGACGGAACTAAAAATTATCACATAAATCTTTGCGCGCATATACAATTTGATATGCTTCTCTTATAATATTCATGTTCCGAAAGATTAATGATTCTGATTTTCTTTTTTTTTCTTTTTTGCGTTTCTCATAAAACATTGCCGAATATCCAAAATTTGAATATTATTAAGCGAAAATGTGTGTCGAACACGCAAGGCGTTATAATCGCGGATTTAATTTTTTCTCAGTAAGCTCATATCGAAGTGGCATGATGATCGGATGTCATTTTATCCACTCGTGGTAATGCAGCTAATTCATTTCTACTTAAATGATTCACTATTCCTGCTCCTAATGAATCACCGAGTACATTTACAGTCGTTCTACATCGGTCTCTGAAAATGAGATTTTTTATTTAATCATTTTTTTCAATTGTTATAAAATTTTTAAACAATTATATATAAAAAAAAATGTTGTCCCTTTAAGAATTATTTTTTTTTTTTTCATTAGTAGTAAAAGACAGTTTCAGTCAAACAAAATGTTGGTAATTTTAACGAAAGTGGTATAAAATCAGATACAATTTTAATGAATTGGTATAATTTTGGTAACAGTAGTAAAAGTTTTTTTTTTTTGACAGACTTTCAAAAGTGTTGAATTCTAGAAGTTAGTAGTAAAAGACAGTTGTAGTCAGACATAATTTTTGGCGAAAGTAGTAACAGTCAGTTTAAGTCAGACTTTATAAATTACCGTAAATTAAAAATAAGTAGTAAAGACAGTTACAGTCAGACAAAAGTTTTTAATTATGACAAAAGTGGTAAAAGTCAGTATTGGTCAGACTATCTATTCTAAAAATTAGAAATTAGTAAGAAAGAAAATTAGTACGTAATGTCCAATTTTATCGAAAGTAGAAAAATTATTTATTAGTCAGATTTTAAAAATTAATACAAATTAAAAATTCAGTAGTAAATTATAATTTTAGACGCGATATTTTATCAAAAAGTAGCAAAAATAAGAAGTCAGTCAAGACTTTTAAATTCTTTCATACCAGAAATCAGTAGTTTCTCTACATTTTTACAAATTGGAAATTAGTATTAAAAGACTGGTTAGACAAAATTTTAATGATGTCATGTAATTTTGGTGCAATTTTTTTTTGTTTTCAATTCTGTAACAGTAGTAAAAGGCAGAATGTTTGTAATTTTGTCAAAAAGTAGTAAAAGTCGATGAGAGTCAGACATAGTTAATTCTTGAGAATCTGAAATTAGTGGTAAAATACAATTTTAGTCAGACGTAATTAATATTATTCAAATTGGAAATCAGTGGTAAAGGGCATTAGCAGTCAGACAAAAACGTTGCAATTTTGACGAAAGTAGTAAAATGCAATATCAGTCAGACGTTAAAAATGTTTGTAAATTTTAATTCAGTAGTTAGAGTCAGTTCCAGTCAGACAGAATTTTTGGTAATTTTTGGCGAAAGTAGTAAAAGACATTTTAAGTCAGACCATCTAAATTCTTGTAAACTAAAATTCAGTAGTACAAGACAGTTTTAGTAAGACACAAAATTTTTTTTCTCAAAAATTAATATCTGTAATAGAGGAGTAGAATTTCAATCAAACATAAAAATTGTAATGTTGACAACAAAAATTATTAATTTTAGTCATTTGTAAATTGTTTCAAAGTAAAAATTAGTAGTTAAAGGTCAGTATTAGTCAGGCATAATTTTACTTTAATTTTTATATTATTTTTTTATCAGTAATAGAAGGCTGATTATTTTAAATTAAAAGATTAGCTGAAAAAATATAATTTTCAAGATCAAAAAATTGTATTTCCAATTTGGTTGCAATCGTTTTTTAATTAGTGTAAAATTAAAGAAAATTAGATTTTTTTTTTTTTTGCAAATTACTTACAATAGCCAATCAACGGCTAAAATTGTGGCAACATTTTTAGCATCAATTCCTACTGTATCCAATACCATAACCATTGTTACCAATCCCGCCTGCGGGATTCCTGCTGCACCAATACTCGCAGCAGTTGCAGTGATACTGTAAATAGAAAAAAAAATAATTTTTTTTTTCCAATTATACTTTATTTTCATTAACAAAAATTCAATTTAAACCTTTTTATCTGAATTTTTTGCGAAATATATTTTTTTAAATTTCGTAAATTATAAAATCGATTTTAGAATTCCATATAAAACTGATATAGGGAATATATATAATTATAGAGAGAATAGAAATTTCCAGTGAATTTTGAATTATATTTGCCATGCACTCACCTAACAGCCACAATTTGACCGAGGCTCAAATCCTGTTTAAGCGTTTGCGAAATGAAGATAGCAGCCACAGCCTCATATAGAGCAGTACCGTCCATATTGATCGTTGCTCCTATCGGCATTACAAAACGCGTAACTCTCGAGTCAATTCCATTTCTATCCTCTAGGCAACCAATTGCAACTGGAAGTGTTGCTGAACTCGATGATGTTCCAAATGCCGTTACTAATGCTTGCGCCATATTTGATACATAAATCAATGGATTTCTTTTTGTTAGCATAAAAAATATTGTCGGCAATATTACAAATCCATGAATGCATAATCCAATTAAAACAGTTATAAAATACATTCCCAATTGTCGCACTGTTGTTTCAATTGATTCAATTTCAATTATTCTTGCAGCTACTAGAAAAAGTACTCCCAATGGAGATAACCTGAAATTTATATATATATATATATATATATATATATATATATATATATATATATATTTTTTTATTATTGGTTTAAAATTTTTTTTGTAAAATATAAAAATTTGTAAATAGAAAAATTGTTTCTCACCAAACGACCCAGTTTGTTATAATCATCATAGCTGATGAAAGAGCTTCGAAAAAGTATAACAATGGCTTTCCGGGATCACCCATTTTACCTAAAGTTATGCCTAGAATTGCCGAAAATACGACAAGGCCCAAAATATTTGTCCCATTCGCTGACTCATCTTTTAGCGTCCACGTAAATTTATCAGCTAAAAATAATATTTACAATTACAAAATGGACTTTTAATTTTTAATTTTTAATTTTGTTCATTAAATACCAATTTTTACAAATTATATACACCTAAAGAAATATTTTATTGACAATTATTTGAGACGAACAAAATTTATTTGACTCTATATGGCAAATATATATCTTTTATCCCGGTGTAGTTTTATAAAAAAAATTAGTTATTATTTATAATAATTGTTTAAATAAAAATATTCTTACTTGCTGATTGATTTTTCACTGGATCTGGATCATAATATATTCCCGTTCTATATTGCGAAATGCAAGCTTCAACTAAATTCGGTGGAAACATATTTCGAATTAAATCTAATAATGTGTCAGGAGTTGTAACATTACGTTGTTCACTGCTATCGGCAACTGCGTCAAGCACAAGATCACCACCTCCAGGTCGAATACTAATTACCAAAATTATACCTTTAAAAATAATAATTTTAATTAATCTTTAATATTTATAGTTTCTTTTAATAATAACTAATTGTAAATATTAATAATTAAAAAATAATTTTTTGAGTCCAATAAATATATTAATTTAATTTATTTGATTGAAAAAAAAGTTATCATTAATTATTAAATTATTATTATATAATAATTAATTTAATTTATATAAAATATAAAAATAAAATTGAATATTTTGAGCTCACCCAAAATTACAGCACTGATGGTAGTAACAAAATAATAAACTACTGCACGACTTCCTATTCTTCCGCTTAGTGAAAGATCTAGAGATCCAATAGCTGAGATCAAACTTGACATTATTAGTGGTAGAATTAAACCTTTTAACATTCGCAAAAATAATTCCCCAGCATAATTAACGTACATTCGTTCTCTTTGTGTCCATTTTTCGCGACTTGCTTTTAACGATATTCCCAAAACAACACCTCCAACAACACCAATAACTGTGAGTAATGTTAATGCATTGTGCGATAAACATGAAACCATTTTTTGTCTTCTTGTTCTTGGTAGCCTACTTGGCTCCTGTGGGTAATAGGATTTTCTTTCATCTTTCCTCTCCTGACCGTCAACTCCCGACAATGGTGATCTGTAAAAAAAAGAAAATAGATTTCTGTTATCGACAATTGTCGACCTTTTTTATTATCGATAATAATTATCGACGTTCGGTATAATTCAGTTGATAATTTGACTCGTGTCTTGGCTTATTACAGATTTCTATTATCGGCATTTATCGACATTTATATTATACTATTATTAAATAAATTTTTTTTTATTAAATATATTTATCACAAATAAATATTAATTTTCATTAAATAATAATTATTATTATTTGATTTAAGTAAATATTTATTTGACAATTAAGTAAACGTGATTATTTTAATAAAATAATTTTTTCTCTCCTATGTAACGTGAAATTAGATTTTTTTTTTTTTAATTAATAGTTTCCTTTTTGAGTTGTAACTAATTAATTCCATTTGCATATTACTTAAAACTTTTCATATAAGCTATTTGACAAATTTAATAGCATTAGATTCATTAAATATTCATGATGAGACATTATGTATGTTCCATTTATTTAAAAGAGATAATACAAGGAGCCCTGCGCATTAATTACTGAGGAGTAGTAATTTTCAAAAGAAAAATAATTCAATATATTTACTAAAAATTAATATTTTCAAAAATCACTAAATTAAATTATTTTAATACTAAATTAAATTATTTTAATTAATTAAATCCTTTATATTATCACGAGAAGATATAGAATTTTTTAATAACATTTTCAATTTATTATCATGAATTATATAATTTTAGTTAAAAATAGATAGAAATTTTTTACAGAAAAATAATAATAATTAATCATCACTCACACTTTTTTTTTTTAAATACATATGGAAATTATCGTTTTAATAATGATTAATTGAGAAAATCGTTTAACGAAGATTAGAAAAAAAAAATTTTATGAACGTAATATCATTGTTTATATATTAGTTCGATAGTTGAATAATAGAAATTATTAATAGATTTTCAAACATTCAAGGTTATTTAATAAAACGAAAAAAAAAAATTCTTTTTAATATTCAATTATTACACTTGATTGAGACTTGTAAATATATTCGTTTAGAACAAAATAAATGAGAACATGAATTACTATTTGTATTATATACGCATCATTATAACATTGACTATTCACGATGATATCACACTAACTTTGTGGTTTATGAAAATATCGTTTTTATTGGCACTTTAAGTGCATATATAATATATAAATTAAAAGATTAAATTCATGGTCATTGTTCATAACTTCCCCATATTTTTTTTTCTGTTCCTCAAAAAAAAATAGCATAAAAAAATTAATATATTTATTTGATTCAAATAATTTTTTTCAAATACAAAAAATATTTCAGATACAGAAATTTATTGGTTCAAATATACTATAAATTAAAATACAGTTTATTTGATTTAAATCAAAAATTATTTGATACAAATAAATATTTATTTGATAATATTCAACATTTGAATTAAATAAATTTTTGTAAATATTTATTAATAAAAAAAAAAAAAAAATTATTAAAAGGAACAAAAATAATTAATTTTTTTTTTTTAATAAGTAATTTTGTAATTTAAATTAAGGCTCCTTATAGAGATTTTCTTTTAAATTATCAGGGAATATTTTCGTTTCTAATTTTACACCTGTGCAATGCAAAAATTAACATATATATGTGTAATTAAATCTATAAAGTGTCTCGTGAATTATTTTTTTATCTCCTATTTCCTGATAGGCATGCGTGAACAAATTATTTATATATATATGTGTGTGTGTGTATGTACGTATGTCTGTCTGTCCGTGTAGTTTACAATTAGAAAGAGAAAAAAAATGGGCGCAAGCGCGACAAGCACGTGTACCAAGTATATGTATATATAATAAACGCGAGTCATCAACACACAGGACATGACATCATAAATGACGAGAAATTGCTCGCTCGTTAGTTCAAACGCTGGCTGCATGTGCTTACACGTGTATAGTTGCTCATGTCAAAACCATCATTTCATATATGACGAGTATTAATGTGAAAGCTCCAACGTCAAAAAAGCTTCGAAGAATTGACCTATCGGATTATATTGAACGTGTTCCTCCTTTTAACCGCTTTATAGAATGAATGATGAACCACGTTTTTTCAAAAGATGAATAATTGATCTCTTCTAGACATATATATATATATATATATATAACGTCTAGATATAATAATGTCTCATCATTTTTGATTTTAGAGAAAAAAAATTTTATGGACTTTTTTTTGAGCTTTTAACTTAATATTTATCAACACTGTTAAATGTCGTTTTTTAGATCTATAAGTTGACTTCATTCAAAAAAAAAAATTTTTATTATTAATTTTTTTTATCATTTCTATAGAGAAATATTTTTAAAATAATTTTCTAAAAAAAAAAAAAAGCAATTTGTTTATGACAAATTTCAATTTTACATCCAGAGAAATATTTTATTTGATACAAAAAAAAATTTATTTGAATGAAATAAAAAAAAATAATTGTCTCATTAGTCTCTAAAAATATTTTATTTCTTTCAATAATGAAAAATTTACTTTAGCACAAAATAAAATTTTATTTATCACAAATAAATTTTAATTTAGTAAAAATAAAATTTTATTTATCACAAATAAATTTTAATTTAGTAAAAATAAAATTTTATTTAACGCAAATAAATTTTAATTTATACCACAAATATAAATTTTATTTAACGCAAAGAGAAAATTGTATTTGAAATGAATAAAAAAAAAAAAAATAAACGAAATAAAATTTATTTGTCTCTGAGACGAAAATTTCATTTCTCTTCGTCAACTCAAAATTTGAATAATTTATTTACTCATTATAAATTATATAAATTTTCTTTTATTTGACCAAGAATAATTTATAATTTATATATCAATTTTGTCTCATGAGAAAAAACAAATTTAGAGCATTTTTAAAATCATTTTTTTTTCTATTTAATGTAAAAATAATATAATATTAAAACTAAAATACAGTGAAAAAGAGAAAAATGAAAAAAAAATCTGACGAAAGAAGAAATATTAATATTCACAGTGCTTATTCTTTTGAATAAAAATGACGCGCAATTTTTATATTTGCAAATACATTTTTTTTTTTTTTTTTTTATTACTATTGACTTATTCGCAAACAAATACCTTTTGTTATAAGTGTAAACTTAATGCAAGTTTTTCACATTCACTATAGTTAAAAAAAAAAATATTTTTTTCAATGATATATGCAAATTTTTGCGAGAAAAAATAAATAGATGTAACATACATAATTCATGTGGGAAAAAATAACTTCCAAATAAAATTTTTATAGAATTAAACAGAATTTAATATTAAAACTTTTATTGATAAAGAGAATTTATTTAAAGTAAATTAATAATTGAAAAATTCTTTTTTTGATTTTATCAAAAATGGCAAATTTAAATTAAATTTTTTTAAAATAAAAATTCTTGAAATAAATATTAATTAAATAATATTATTAATGTAGAAGCCAGTATATATATATGTAAATTATGAAAATTCAATATCTGCTGAATTTGGAATCAATGTTACATATAAAGTATAACCTAATTTGTCAAAATGACAAAAGCACCTCGTAACAATTTAATTTGCGCGAATGTAATCGTGAAAATAGATGTTTATTTATACATGTATATATATATATATATATATATATATATATATATATATATATATCAATTCACATAACTTGCGAATGGGCTCTTTGATATGAGTAAAATAACTTCATTGAATTCATACAGTTATAACAAGTTTATCTCACAATATTAAATTACATTCAATTGTAAATTACGTGATTTAAATATGTATTGCCATGTGAAATATAATAATAAATGTTCATCCATTGTATAAAACTTGAATAGATTTTTTTTTTTTTTTTTTGAATTTTTACTGATTTTTTTTTCAAAAAATTTATGTCAAAATTTTCAAAGGATTTTTTTTCATTACATTATATTTAATGTGTATTTTTTTTATAAACTTTATTTTTCTATTTCTTTTATTTCATTGTTTATATTTTTAATTCAATTTTTTTTTACATTTTAAATTTAGTTTATTAAATTTTGTTATCAAAAAGAAAAAGTCTTCATTTTCTCGAAAGTGTTCAAAAAAAAAAAAAAAAAATTGAGAATCTTTTTGTGTAATCATGAACGCTTTTATAATTCAAAGATCCCAAAGGATTTGCTGATTCACTGAAAATAGAAGTGGAAATCGACTTAAGGCTAAGTGATTTTTGGTATGCAATTTTTGCTGGAAAAATAAAAAGCGATTTTCCCTTATATATATAGAGAAATGTTTCTAGGGGGTAGATCTAAAAGGTCACTTAATTTTTCAATCAAATCCTTCAGTTTTTATTTCATTTTTCTCTTTCTTGCTTTTTTCTTGTCTCTCAATTTTTTTTTTATCTATTATTTTCCTTTTATTTATTTTTCTCTATATGAATAAATAAATAATTAATTATTAAAGAAAATTTTTAATTTACAAATAGAACATTTTTTTTAATTATTGTTTTTTATTTTTTTATTTTTTAATCAATAAAAATTAATCATGATTGCGATCAAGTCATAAAACATTTAATATATAATCATTAAGTTTCAATGTTTATTGTTCTCTCAAATAACCGCGCGAAGTGCGATTGATAATACAATTGATTTTCGCTTGAAATTAAATTGAAATTGAAGCGATTGCTGATGATGTAATTCGTTTAAATATACAAAATCATTTAAAGCAGACATAGAAATAAATTAATTACATCTTTTATTTCGCAATTTTTTTTTTTTTTTTTCTTCAAATTTTATACATATATATAACATTCAAATGTTTTCAATTATTTTTTTATGAAATTAAAAATTGTATTTGGAAATATTTATTTTTTATTTCTCAATATTATTTTTTGCATATAATAAAACAAAAAACAATAAAGAAAAATTCTTTGAATTTAGTATTTCTCATATTTAAAAAATTATGTGAAAAAAGTTTGTTATTTTTTTAATTCAAAACAATTGTCACTTATTAGTCT